GTGATTGACTGTGACTGACGCTCCCCCCTCTTGGGACGGGCAGTGGCTGGCCCGCTTTTACTTGTTTCCTTCTGTGATCGACTCCCATTTGCTTGTTCTGGCTGTGGCTGACCCCCTGCTGCTTCCAGGGACAGGCTGTGGCTGACCCCCTGCTGCTTCCAGGGACAGGCTGTGGCTGACCCCCCTTTTACTTGTTTGGTAGGGGCTTTGCTGGGCTTTCTTGATGGGGTGTCGACCCACTGTCATAGTCTCTAGAGCCTTCCGTCTCTAGGGTATTTGTATTTGAGGCAACTTTCAGTCTAGATGCAGTGATAATGACCGTGCGTTCGCCCAGAACAGGGCAGTTCTCGGGGCTTACCTATCGCTTTCCCCCGAATAGAACACACGGTCATTATAGCTGTATCTAGACTGAAAGTTGCCTCGAATACAGCAGGCACGACCTCGCGTTCTATTCGGGGGTGTAGACGGTAGGGCTCCCAGTTCTGTGGCGGTGGTTGCACCCAGAACTGGGTTCAAATTAAGGTCAATAATCACTTCCGATGTTCCCATCCCCCAAAAAATGTCACCTACTGTAGGTCGGGCTACCGACCAGTTGCGGGTTATCCTTTTGTCTGTCTTTATTATTATTATTATTATTTTTTTTTTTTGAAGGCCCTTGTGCAAGGCCTCTATCCCTGTGGTGGTAAGAGAACCACCGGGATTGAGGCTTTGTCAACGGGCCGCTCCATCTATTGGTGGGGAGTATCACCTGCTGGAAACCGGGTCCAGCATCCCTTTTTGAATACATTCTTTTTTCGAAGTGAGCCATGATCATGTGTATCCCTGCCAGCATTGATTACCCTGGGCTGCAGGGGATTGACTGATCCTTTGGTTGACCTACGACGGTTCCTGCATGTTCAGGATGCTGGTGAGGGTCCTTGGTCCCACGGTCTTTTAAGACGTGGGCCGAGGAAGTCGACAGGCGTGCAAGCCGGTGGGTGTTTAGCCCACGAAGGGGAAGAAACCTGAGTGGCGGGGGTTCCCGGGGGTGCACCATCCGCCGACCATGATCTGTTTTGAGAGGAGGGCTGGAGGTGGCCGGGAGGGGGGCCACTGCCCGGGTCCGGGGGGCACTGGTCCTTAACTTTCTGTAGCCCCAAAATGTCACCTCCGTCGGGCTCTACCTACGGGGTGAGGGCTACCCGTTTGGGGATTATCACATGCAGTACCCAACAAATTTCTCACCTAGGTTGGGCTACGTGCCGGTTGTGGGCTGCCCTTTCGTCGATTATCACTTCCAGTATCATCAGGAGGGTTCCGCGTCGTTTCTCGCGATTGATTGATGAGTCGGTGACAGTCTGACAATAGACTATGTTACGCCCCCTCCTCCCCCCCCCAGTTCTTGTCCTTGTAGTCCTTTATGTCTACACCCCATCAGGATTCAAACTCACGATCTGCTCACCGACTGTGGTAGCAGGCCAGCACTTCGTGTATATGTACATGACAATGTTTATATTATACGATATATATTATATACAGAGATCTCTGTATTTGTTATCTACTCATTGTTATCAATGAGGCGGGCCCTTTACTGTGCATGTCCGAGGCACGGTAAAGGAAGGCAGAGGGGAAAGAAGAAAGAAAATAGAAAAAAGAAAGAGAAACAGTGAAAACAGCTGAGAGAGAGAGAGAGAGAGAGAGAGAGAGAGAGAGAGAGAGAGAGAGAGAGAAGAAATAAAGAAACAGCTGCAGAGAAACAAGGAAAAGAGTGATTTCTGCGTTCCGCACGCTGTTTGCTCTCTTGTTCAATTGGTCTGCAAAATATGTGACTGTATTTATTGTTGAGCCCCCTGATGAGTCAGTTGCTGATACTCCAACGAAACAGGATGTTGCAGCCCTCCCTATGGTTCTTGTCCTTTTCTCCCTTTCTGCCTACGGTTCACCGGGCAGTTCTGTTTGACGATATATATACATACGTATATGATGACAGATACATAGAGTCGTAGAGAACTGCCCTGGTTAAGGTGGATTATCAGTTACATGTTACGATCCTGGCCATTTCCCAAGTGCAAATTCACAATGAAAGACAATGCCACCCAATTGCGAAAGAAATGAAAGCACTTGCAAAGAGATAAAGACCAGAGGAGAGAGAAAGAAGAAGAAGAAGAAGAAGAAGAAGAAGAAGAAGAAGAAGAAGAAGAAGAAGAAGTACACCAGCAGAACCAATGACAATTCCCCCCTTTTCTCTCTCCACCTTCCTCCTCCTCCTTCTCTTCACCAATCTTATTCTTCTCTCAATAATAATAATAACAATGAATGGATGAACCAGAATCAATATCCGAAGTTCCCTCTTACTGCTGACTCAACTCAACAACAACAACAACAACAACAACCAGTCCACCATAGCTATGGCTTCCCTCCTTCAGCCTCCTCTCTCATGCATCGGCTATGGCGGACTACTCCAAGCAGCTAGGGTGCTGCGCTGATGTCCAAAGGACAACCCAAGCAGCTATGGTGCTGCGCTGATGCCCAAAGGACCACTCAAAGCAGCTATGCCGCTGCTTGGTCCGCTATGCCTGACTCTGCCTCGAGCTTCCCTGGTGCCGCACTACCCCCACTGGGGCCTTCCAGATGCAGCGCCCAACAAGGTAATGAAGATGGTGTCTACCATAGCCAGGTAAGTGCCTCGCCACTCTCTCCCTCAACCTCCTTCTTCCTCCTCCTCACACTGGGCTGCTCGCCATAGCCAGGCTGAGCGCCCAGCTGCCTTCACCTCCACCCAGCGCTGTAGCAGACCAGCGCTAGCGCTCCAGCAGCATGTCGCCAATCCTTGCATACCGCAAATGAGGAAGAGCTCTTCGCTCTTCCTGAAGATATAGCGGCCTACCGGCCTCCTGGGGGGTGACTTCCTAGGCCGAGCGGCCTCCCAGCAACCGGTACCTCCTCCCTTTCGGAGGGAAACATCATTGCAGGCTCTGTTATTGTCCGGACAGGCCCTAGACCCGGGCTACTTGGACTGGTACCGGCCTACCTCTAACCTACCGCTACTGGGCCTCTAAAAATGCCAACTTTTTGTCTTCTTCTGCTCGGCCTACCTGTACTTGAGTGTTTTTTCCCCAGCTGCTCTAAGTGCCGTGGGCCTACCCCCCGCTACCTGAGTGTTTACCCCCCTGCAACCCTCAAAGTCACGGCCACAGGTAAGTACCGGCCCTGCGGGGCCTTGCAACCAACAAGTACCCTTGCGGGTCACACTCACACTCAACCGACAAGCACTCAGACAGGCATGCAAACGGGCAGGCAGCACACACACACAGACTTGGAAAACACAGCAGAATGCGGGAATCACAGCAAGGCATTCATTCCCAGAAATCGGCAGTGTTCTCAGTCTGTGTTTTTGGCGGGTCATTACATACAGTGTAATCAGTTCGGTAGGGGATTCTGCAGACTGTTGAGGGTTCAGCCTCCTGATGAGTCGCTCGGTGAAACTCCAACGAAACGGTTTGTCACAGCTGCAATGAACCCAGATCGCGAAGACAGTTATCAACAATGCAAGTCCAGATGAATGTCAACAGCCGATGAGTACCAATAATCAAGATTGTGTCCAGACAGGATGAGACGAGGTAATCATACACAGACGAAGAAGAGAGGAGGGAGAATAGACAAAGGAGAAGAAATACAATGCCCACTCCTGCTTCGGGCTCCCTCCTCCAACACTTCAATAATAAACAGTCTGGACGAGTATCTGAAGTAACCTCAATGTGCCACGTGGCACGTCTAATTAGTCTCTCATCAGCACTGGAGCAATGTCAATATGAAGACAACCAGGTACGTATTCACTATCTCTCCACAGTCCCGATCTTCCTCTTCCCTCGCAATCAGTCACCTCATGAAGACAGCGTGGACAATGCCACGTCAGCAATCAAGGCAGGTGGCAACGCCACATCAGCAATGAGCAGCGCCGCATACACCAGAAGCAGTGCCACGTCAGCATGCCATGTAGACCAGAGGTAGTGCCACATATACCAGAGGCAGCACCACATCAGCATGCCACGTAGACCATAGGCAGCGCCACATATACCAGACCAGAGGCAGCGCCACGTCAGCATGCCATGTAGACCAGAGGCAGTGCCACATATACCAGAGGCAGCGCCACATCAGCATGCCAGGTAGACCACAGGCAGCGCCACATCAGCATGCCCGGCGTACAATGCCAGAGTGCTGCTTCTCCCATGTGTCATCGTCCGCAGCTCTGATGCGCAGCCAGCGTCTAGCCAGCGTCGCGCTAGCATAATGCCAGCGTCAAGTCAAAGTCAAGCCAGTGTTGAACCAGCATAGCAAGACTGAATGTTGACCACCTCGAGGCCAGACTTTAAGTAGTGTTTGTCGAGGCTCTCTGGCCTTGGGTCTCCTCCCCTCAGTTGTCCAGATTGAGTCACAGCCGAAGGCCTGGATTGTACAGTTGCTGCATTCCCCCTTGGTCTTGATGTTGTCTGGGTACCTGCATACAAACAAGTGTGTGTGCTTGACCGGCGGCCTGGACTGGGTACCTTTGGACTTTGACTGTTGGGTTCGCGACAGTTGACAAAAGTCCACTGTGGCACGCCCAGGCCCTGAATCCCTGTGTGGGGTCCCTTACCTCGTTTTTGGCCTGGCTGAGGGTGGCCAGGTCGGCCCTCAGATTTCCCACAAGACATATGGCATGGGTTATTGCACAGCCCCTCCCTCGTTTGTTGTCCTCTTCCTCTTCTCCCTCTCTGCCTACGGTTTACCGGGCAGCTCTGTTTGACGATATACAGCGCCTTGTTTGTTGTCCTCTTCTCGCTCTCTGCCTACGGTTTACCTGCTCTATGGCAGAACTCTATGATGGGTTCTTTTACTTGATTTGTCTTTCGAAATGATGGCGTGGCTTTGTTTTTGTAGCCGAAGGGGTTGGTAGGTTGGTAGGTAGGTAGGTAAGTAGGTAGGCAGGCAGGTAGGTTGGTGGAATTACTGTGTCTAGAGCACCCACTTATGGGGGTTTAGAGCACACACTTATGGGGCCTTAGAGCACACACACGGGGCCTTCTTCCTTCGCTCACTGTGAACAACCGTCCTGTATTAATGTTGTATTTGGCTCAAGGTATAGTCCAAATGCAGGTAGGCAGAATTACTGGGCTTAGAGCACACACACATGGGGGCTTCTTCCTTCGCTCACTGTGAACAACCGCCCATATAGATCTAGGGACCGACAACATAGGTTAGTACCGTCTTCACCCGAATAGAACGCCCAGTAGTTCTAACTGCATCTGGACTGAGTTGTGCCAAATACAGCATTAATAATGACTGGGCTTTCTATTCGGGTGAAGACGGCACCACTCTCTGCCCCTAATTTGCTGCATCGGTCTTTTACCTGCAACTTAGGGGTATGGATCAAATTACCAAAGAACGGGCCTAGCTCAGTGTGGTACAAAGAGCAGACCAAGTTCAAATCCAGGTACATGCAGATCACCAGAATAAAATAACCCTGGAACTACCTAGTTCCGGTCAGTTCAATCCACTTCAATGATGATATCTTAAGGCCATCGCCCTTTTCAGAAAAAAAGGAAGGAAGGAAAAGAAAAAAAAAAAGGCGGTACTCGCTGCGAATGAGCCGCCTCTCGCTTTGGTGTTTTTACCTGCAACCAGCTGTCGCCAGATTTTTTTTCTGGGCACACATGGGCCCCTCCGAGGTGCAGCAATGACTGTTCTATTTTGATGCAACTTCATTCCAGCTGGATGCAACTTCATTCCAGCTGGATGCAACTTCTGTTCCAGCTCGATGCAACTTCTGTTCCAGCTGGAGCAACTTCTGTTCCAGCTGCAGCAGCTTCCGTTCCAGCTGCAGTCATGAGTGTGTCCCAGCTGGAGCAACTTCATTCCAGCTGCAGCAACGAGTGTTCCCGCTGGAGCAACCTCCGTTCCAGCTGCAGCTATGGCTGTCCCAGCTGTCGCAGCTTTCTCTCCGGCCGCAGCCATGAGTGTCCCAGCCGGACCACCTTCTGTTCCAGCAGCACCAATGTGTTCCAGATGGAGCAACTTCTATTCCAGGTGGAGAAGCTTTTTTTTTTTTTTTAAATCCCCCTGCCTCCGTCTACTCTGGGAGTGTCAGTCGGACTCGGTCCCGTTCCTCTTTTTTTTTTTTTTTCCCACAGGCAAGTCAAAAATACAAAAATACAAATGCATCCAACCAACACGCGTCCCCCTTCTGTTCCAGGTGGAGCAGGTTTTGTTCCAGGTGGAGCAACTTTTTTGTTCTAGAGGGAGCAGGAGCAACTTCTGCTCCAGCCTCAGCAATTAGTGCTCCAGTTGGAGCAACTTCTATTCCCCAGCCGCGGCTATGACTGTTTTTACATTGATGGGTCTTCATGACAGTAAACGAAATTTGAAATTTTATACTGGATGTCACCGTTTTTTTTTTGTTTTTTTTTTTCTGCTTTTTTTTTTTTCTTCAGATATTCCAGGATTCTACTTTGATGCGGAACGGAATCGGTACTTTCCTGTGAAGAAGCGCGGACCAAGTGGGACAAGCACTGGGCCTGGGCCAGGGCCAGGGCCACCGCCAAAAATTCCCCAGGTATGAAATTGGAAAAAAAAATAAAATTGAAAATTGGATGATGCCGTACTGCGTTCTTTTTTGCTTTCTTCTTCCACCGAGTTTTCTCAACTTCTCTGTCTTCTTTTTTTTGTTTTTTTGCCCCCAGTTGGATCTCTTTCTGGGTATTGAATGCTTTTTTCTCTTTTTTAAAAACTAGTATTAGATTCTGATAACCATAGTTTATTTATTTCCCAACAGAGCTCTTCCGCTTGCCTAAAGATGGAAAGTTTTTTAATGTTAATGTAGTAATCTAAAAAGACTAAAATTATTTCATATCATTTTAGTCTACAATGCATGTGCTAATAATTTATTGTGGTAGTTTATTTAATTCTATTAATTCAATTTAATTGTTGTTTCAAAAATCTCAACCAGATGCTACCGAGGAAAGGACTCAAATTTTCAGAAAAGGCCACAAAAATCTGAGGACGGACACAAAATTTCAGAAAAGGATACAAATTTGAAATTTCAGCAAAAATTGCCATCCATCAGATTCCATCTCCAACTTATAATTTCGTCTTCTTCTTCTTCTTCTTCTTCTTCTTTTTTTTTTTTTTTTTTTTCCAGCTACTTACCATGCTCTTTCTTGACTTGTGTTAATTCTCTAGGCGACGCCATTTTTTTTTTTACTAGGGTTAATTTTCTCGACTTGTTTTGTTATTACTACTAGGGAGCTAGGGTTAATTTTCAGAAAATCACGTGTCGTTACATTTCGCCGGAAAAAAGGCAGTATGTCGGATGTGAGTCAGATTCTAAGCGGCATGATGCTATGTGGACGACACACTCCGCCAGGTGATGCTCTATGTCGATGGACGGTCTCCATTTGGTTCGCCTGTCCTGGATATACTACCGTCTTTCCCCTGAGTTTGGTTCTCCTGTCCTGGACATACTACCGTCTTTCCCCTGAGCGT